TTGATGCAACAAAATCAGTTGTTCGTGTTCAAAGATGACTGCTTCAGTGCATTCAATGAGCTAAAAGAAAAACTTGTCATGACACCAATTGTTTTCCACCTGATTGGGATGCCCCTTTCGAGCTGATGTACGATGCGAGTGACTACGCAGTAGGAGCGGTGCTAGGGTAAAAAAAGGTAAAATATTTTATGTTATTTATTATTCTAGTCGTACCCTAAATGATGCACAACTTAACTACACCACCAACAAAAAAGAATTGATTTTTGTGGTATTCGTTTTTTTAAGTTTAGGGTATACCTTATAGGCACTAAGGTCATTATGCACACTAATCACTCAATCATTAATACTTAGTGAATAAAAAGGATGCTAAGACTAGGCTTATTAGATGGATACTTTTGTTGCAAGAATTTGATTTAGAGGTGAAAGATAGGAAGGGTACCGAGAACCAAGTAGCATATCACTTGTCTATGCTAGAGAACAAAAAAAATTTACCATGACATGAAAGAAAATCAGGAAGAATTCCCATATGAGAAAATATTATTTGCCACACCAGCGCCGTGGTATACTGACATAGTTAATTTTCTTGTTAGTGGTATTGTGCCTCCAGATTTATCTTGTCAAGGAAGAAAAAAGTTCAGACATGATGTGAGCCATTACTAATCGGACAAACCATTCTTATTCAAGAAATGTACCGATCAAATAATCCAGAGGTGTGTCCCTAAAAAAGGACACAAGGAGATCCTATTTCATTATCATACATCCCCGTGTGGAGATCACTTTGGTGGGGTAAGGACTGCTTCAAAGGTCCTACAATCCGACTTTTATTGGCCCACCTTGTTCAAAGATGAGCATGAATTCTATAAGTCATGTGATCATTGCCAACACACTGGTAATATATCAAAGAGAAATGAGACACCATGAAAAAATATTTTGGAAGTTGAACTCTTCGATGTATGAGGGATCGATTTTAGAGACCATTCCCATCATCCTTTGGTAATATGTACATACTTTTGGTTGTGGACTACGTGTCCAAATGGGTCGTGGTCGTGGCAACACATAGAAATGGCTACAAGACCATACTAAAATTCTTACAAAAAAATATTTTCACCTAGACCAATGGGCAGGTTGAAGTCTCCAACCGGGAGATCAAGCAAATAATCGAGAAGGTGGTCAACCCAAGAAGAAAAGATTGGTCGTCGAAGCTAGATGAAGCATTTTGGGCTTACTGAATAACTTTCAAAATGCCACTAGAGATGTCTCCATTCAAGTTAGTTTATGGCAAGGCATGTCACTTACTTGTGGAACTTGAGCACAAGGCTTTTTGGGCCATCAAGAAACTCAAAATGGATGCACAACTTGCTGAAGAAAAGTGGTTACTGGAGCTAAACGAGACGAAGGAGTTTAGAGCTTAGGCTTATGAAAATTCCCGTCTCTACAAAGAAAAAAAATAAGTGGCATGATAGAAAAATTTGCCAAGATAATTTTTTCCTGGCCAACAAGTGCTCCTCTACAACTCCAGATTGAAGTTGTTTCCGGGCAAGCTGAAGTCAAGATAATCAGGGACTTTCCTAGTGCATAGCCACAACACAATATAAATAAAGAACTTGGATGATGAGAAAACATTTAAAGTGACTAGCCAAAGGCTGAAGGTCTACAACGGTGCACCCATCATGCATGACAAATTGGCGTTGTTTCTACATGATGCTGAGAGTTTACCCCTATGCCTTAATTTTTTTTTTGCCACGGCAAAATTATTTTTACATTTTGTTCATAAATAAATTAATTTCTTTTAATTAGCACAAGTTTTATTTGCATATATAAGCCTTTTTTTTATTCTGAAAAGCACGTTGAGAACCCACCAACAGAGGAATTACCACGACGAGTTAGTCCTCCCAGGACCAGGCAATGCCTCAAGTGTTCAGTCGGCTGTGCACCTATTGAAATTTCATCACCATATATTCTTGACGATATAGACTCTGATAGCCTACCCCTACTCAAGAGACGCAGCACCCAAGCATCCAGCAAAGCTGCCCCACCACAATAAGGTATCTCATCACTTTTACATTTGCATTGCATTTAGATTACTTAGTTTTCATGCATTGAGGACAATGCATGCCTCAATTTTGGGGAGTTATTGTGCTCGTACTTAGTCATTTGCATTGATAATGTTAACAGAAAAATTTTGTTATGAAATTAGTTATGATTAGGTTAGTTACTTGGAATAAGTTGATGATGCCCGATGATGATAAAATATTTTTTCCATGGCTAGAACTTAATGTACATGACTGTTGAGGACGATAGAACTGGCCCTAGGACTTGATTCTTTGTGACTCTTTGAACAAGATTGTATGTTTTCTATGCTTGAGGAACTTAGAATTTTTTTATGAAAGAACTTTTGCACGTCGTGGCATGAAATTCTAGTAATGAACTTAATTGTTAAATCATTGTGTGAAAAGGCTAAGTTAAACTCCTTAATGTTAATATTTGAATTGTTTTACAAATAAATGCCTTGTCATAACAGTAAAGGGACACTCCTTTGTGTGACGATATTGCCTAGAAACCCCCTTGAATAAATGACAGCCTTAGCACATGAGTGAATAAAAGTAGTCATGGGACGACTCTAATTGACTAGCTCGGGGATGAAAAGTATGCTCCCATTCATCTAGAGTGAGAGATGGTAGTTGTGATTGGCTGACTCCCCTTGTGCAGTGTTTAAAAAAGGAAAAATTAAAAATTTTAAGTGTTGAATAAATAAGAGTAATTTTGTGCTTAATAAATAATTTTATGCCTTGGCAAAACAAAGGAACCTACTTAGGGATTTTCTAATTTCGTTAAGCATAGACTAGATACAATCACACACACACACACACACACACACACACACTTACAATGGATCTTGGCCTATGGAAAGGTACTTGACTTCTCAATTAGTCTAGCATGTTGAAACCAAACTTTTTACTGAGGGCTGAAGTTTTAGACCACAAAACTTTTCCATAACATTTTATTTCCTATTTTTCATTATCCATTCCTTGAGGATAATTAATAACTTAAGTTTGGGGGTGTGATAACTCCGTAAAAGACTATATTTTAGGTATTTTTACTTAAGTTATTATTTGTCTAAAAGCCATTGTCATAGCAGTTTAATTGCATTTTGGACATTTCATGCATGTGGTAGAAAAGTTTTGCCTCGACTAGTTTTCTTTATAAAACTGATGTTGTTGATGAGAAGGGTTGTGTGTTGGCTGTGATGATGCAGGTGATAGGAAATGACCGAGGATGAAATTACTTGCCGAGACAAATTTTATGCGAGGGACAAAGAAATTGAAGATGATGACAGTGAAGAATTTTTCGCAGTGGCAAGTTTTATCTTGCAAATCTGACGCAGTAGGAGACAAAATTGCTAACGTCGCACGACCATTTGTCTAATGCACCTCACGTGAACCACTGCCCCTACTAATGATTTGGGACCATTGCCAGCTACCATATTATTCATGAAATGAGCATGAATTCAAGGGTAGTTGGGGGGATTTCAAGGGCACTAAACCCTAGAAATTTCACACTATAAATAGCATATTTTTCCTACCATTTTAGAGATCCCACTCTCACCTACCCTAGAAGCTTTGCAAAAGGCGACTGTAGCATATTCTTCTCCACCGTTCCTCTCCTGTCCTTCTTTGGTGTCGTTCATAGCCGGCCTTCGCCGAAGTAGCGACTAGGCCCTTGAGAGAGGCTAGCGCGCTGGAGCAATCATGGTGATGGTATGATGTCACGGAAACATCTCTATTTTTTGGAGTTTCCTTCTCCTTGTTCTTTATTTCTTATCTTTTAAGGGCTTGTACTTAATGAGTATTTTGGGATGATTTTAGCCACACCTTGAAATGTTTTATTTGGTGTTGGAGTTGTTTGGATGATACTTTATTTTATGTTTAATGGAAGATAAGTATATTCATGTTTATTGCTATTTTGTTCATTGTTTTAATCTTATGCCTTAGCACTGTAAGAGCTTTTGAGAGATTGTCTGGTGCCTTAGCATAATATTCCTAGTCTTTGTAAGAGCTGTTGAGATAATATTGCAATTATTCGAATTGAGATAATATTGCAATTATTCGAATTGAGATAATATTGCAATTATTCTTTATATATTTATAGGTAATTACAATAATGTATCCATATTTATTTTTTAATTATATTTATATTTTATCAAATAAAAATAAAGTTTTATATATTTGTGTCAAATCAAGTGTGAATTTTTCTCCTAAAACAAGTTAAGTTCACCCCCTAAACTCAGGTCCAGTTGGGTTT